GAAGAGCGTGGCCAGGGACAGCAGCACAAGGTTGGGCTTGTAAAGGTGGGGCGAGCAGGGGCAAAGTCGCACCAGATTAGATGAAACGGGAGCGCTGGAAACTCCAAACCCTGCGGGTCCGCAGCAGCAATCGGTGGTTTTGCTTCGGGTCCCCGGCCATTGAATTCTGCCTCCAGCTTCCACTGCAGTTCCTCGAAAAAGGTCAGCTCCGTGCCTCAGTTTCCCCCTCCAGGCAAAGGGAGTGACTGGTGGCCGGGCACGCGTGAAGCTGCCGGGAGAAGGTGCAGAGCAGCGGAGAGGCTGCTTGGGACCTGTGCCGCTCTAGCTGGAAAGCTGCCGTTCCTACTGCCTGGGGTGGGAGGGGGGATCCTACAATCTGCCAGGAAGGAAACTGGCCTCAAATGGCAGGAAAAAGAGACATTTCCCAGGGATTCCTCTGCATTTTCCCACCTTGGGAAAAAGCGGAAGCGCTGCATGAGCGCTGCTCTGCTCAGCCCCTCCGACCGCTGCGATCCCCTGGCGTCACCCTGGCCACCCCGGACGGGACAGAGCAGCTCCGCTCCCAGCTTCGGCCCCTGGAGGCCCAGTTTCTGCTGGAGGTACCGAGGGGCGAGCAACGGCCTTCAAACCTGGCAGCAGGAGGGAGGAAAACGGCAGGGAGGTTGGCAAGGCAGCAGGGAAGGAGGCCGGCCAAAGCCGGACCGCGAAACAGCTTCGGTGAAGGGTAAGCGCCCAGGCAAGCGCAGGGCACGCGACATCCCCGCTCGAGGCGATCTGGCCCTCGGCGGCTGCTAGGAGGCAAGTTTCTGCGCAGAGCCTAGGTTACGCTGCCTTTACCTTTATCAGGGAGACGCTGCGGCTTTTGCCTTGTATTATATTTAATGGGGTATTATTTTTTTCTGGCTGGCTGTTGGCTTGAGAAATTTCTCCCAAGGGAGCTTCTTTTGATCGCTTGGTTGCCAGACAGAATGACATCAGGCAGGCGCTCAGAGGAATGATAAAAAGGCAGAGCCTTATTTCTTAATAACAGTCTCTGGCAAAACACCGAGCAAAATTAAACGCGCTGGAGAGCACCAGGCCCCGAGACGCTGCTTGGGGTACAGGGCAGGGAGAGAGAAAGAGGCTGCTCTCCCCCAAAATCTGCATCATCCCCCTACATTAGCCAGGGATACTGCCAGGGCCCCCTATTTATTACTCTTTGCAAGCAAAAGAGAAGGGGGCAGCCCAAGATGCTAAGTCAAGGAGGTGCTAATGACCTTCTCGGTCCTAATTATCCCGTATGGTTTCACAGGGAATTCAGGCAAGTCTCTTCCACCCGGACGTAGCCCACGTTTGCCGCACCGTCCTGTAATGCTGTTGCTATTTCTCCAGCAACTGTTGGGACCAAACCCCTGAAACTGTACCCAATATTTAAGGAGATCTGAGCCCTTAGTTGCAAGCAGGAAATCTCTTGCCTTGAGCGTCTCGCAGACCATAGCTACCTTGGTTTTCCTCTCCTCAGCAAGGCAGAGGTTTGCTTGTGTTTCCAGACTGATTCATGCCCTGAGTATGACTATGTACTGAAAGACACCACTTGAGGCATTGCTTTACCTGTTTGGTTTGAACTAGGTTTTTTCTAGAGTCAACTCCCCCAGCGGGGGCCTTCAGGAGGAGGGGGACTCTGCCCTGGTTTGGGTGTTTTGCAGCTTCTGAGCCCAGCATTTCATTGCACTGTTGCCAACTGCTCCTGCCCTCTTCCTCATACCAGCGTCTGATGGCAAGAGTGCAACGACACGGTCAGACACTCCCTTTTGGAGATGGGCAGAAGACCAGGAAACACAAAATACACGATCAAAAGTTCACAGTTGCCTCAATACCCAATTACAGACATTGCAGAAACCCTAAGGTTCCCAATTACAGCTCCTACAAAATTTGAAACTAAACTAAAAAGCCATCTAATGCTATAGTTACATCTGGCTTTCCGTTTCTTCTCACTGCTCTCTCTTTTTAAGTTGCTCATAAATTTTTTGGATAAAATTCCTTTTGGGTTAAAGTCTTTCATGTTTGGACATTCCTCAAAAGTGCATTTAGAAAAAAAAAAAAAAGTAGAACGACTGAGAAAAGGGGTCTGGCTCTTCCCATACTTTATCATGCCAAAATCTTGTCCTCCCCACCCCACTTTCTCCAAATCTTTCTGTCCCCCGATCTGGCCAGCCAGCCTGCGCCCAGTAAGAACCATGGGCCGTATCTATCTATCCCCAGTGCGTGTAAACTGGAATAACACGAGAGAAGCTAATGAAACCACCTGGCTTACAAGGAGCATTTTTAACCTTGGGTTTCAAAGCGCTCCGTAAAGGGGACTGGTACCGCTCTGAGGGCCAGCGAGCCGCGCGAGGATGCAGAGCACCAGCCCCTTCCTCCTGGCGCTCCTGCAGGGCAACGGGCCCAACGATTTGCTTTACAGTTCCTCTCCCGCGGTTATTCCCTGCTTCACTCCATCACGGGGTGCAATGCGCAGGCGCAGGCAGACGCGGCGTTTGCAGGCTGGGCAAGGAGGGGCGAGACTAAACTGATTTGGGGACAGCATCAGCTGGGATGCCACCACCTCAGGCCAACATACAGCAACGCTCAGGTCGGCAGGGACTGAACCCGCTGGTCAGGGGGTCACCCAGCTTTTAAATGAGCAAAGCCTACTTTTAAAGCACTAGTCTTGTTAAAGGGAAACGCATACACATTCCCCAGTCAATCCTCTGCTTCTTGACAAAATGCAAAAGGCGGCAGGTGAAAATGCTGAAACGCGCTGTGGCCTACACGTGCACGGTGAATTTGTGCTTCGGCAGCTGTAAGCGGGGACCGCGGTGGTTTCAGGTGAGCAGAGTGTTGTGCGAGCCTTGTCTGACGGCCTGATCACAGCAGAGAGCTTTTCCCCTCGCTGTTTCTTCGCAGTGCTATGATAAGCAGCCAGGCAGGAGGGACTCCTGAAGAGCAACCACTAAAGAAGGTTGCAAAAGAATATTTCCCTCCACCCCGTCCTCTTTTTTTTCTTTTTTAGGTACTGAATAATTTAGGAGCAGTAAGAAAAAACAAGGCAGCAAGCGCAGCAAGCGGGAAGATCAAAGCCAGGCTAGCCTGGGGTGGGAGCACTCCCTTCACCCAGGAGCTGTGAACTTCTGCAGGAACAGGGACCCCATTGTGAGGCCAACAGAAGAGATCATTTTCCATTCAGGAGCTCTGCCCATTGTCTCCATCACAATGGCCATGCCTGGCCTCTGGCGAGCCGGTGGTACCCAGCGCTGGTGGGCGTCCTGCCCTTAAAGGGTGGCCGTGCCTCCAGCCTCGCCAGCTAGAGCGCTTGCAGACAAGAGACGCAGTGTGGTCGTTCCCTGGGTCGGGGAGGAAGGGCACCCGTGCGTTAATCCAGATGGTACAGAGAGGGTTTTGTAGCTATCTGTATTTCCCACTCTCTGGCGTGTCGTGTCTCCTCTGGGCTGGAGGGGGAATTCCCTCTACTCAGCTCTGCAGAACATGGACACCCTGGGTTAATGTGTACCACATTAACGCAGAATTTGGATAAGTAAGTCCATCAAAACCTAGTCATTACAGATGCATTATATTAAATTTCTCTTCCAATTTCTTCCAGAGATTGAAGACCAGCAATACGAATCAGGGTTTCTCCATCCTAAACTTCTCATCTGCCTCAGACACCAACCGTGGGCAAGTCTGGGAAGTGGCTTTGCCTAAATCAAGTGGCTTCATCTAGTTTAGATGGCTTTGCCTAGTCTGCAGATGGCTTAAAGAAACTTAAAAATTTCGGGTGCCACCTGTCATCAGACCAAGCTTTTGAGACAGAGCAGGAAAATACCTTATCCTTCAAGGCTGCTCTCAGCGTAGGGATCCTGTATCCATGCCCAAAACTGCCCCTGCAGTTAAACCTAGGTTCCTAATATAGTGCTTGTCTTCCAAGTCCCTTCCAAGCTCTTAAGCTCTAACGCAAATACAGCTCTACCGTTCCCAGAGCGTAACACGGAGCAGCTGCTACCCACAAGTATGCAGTGACAGCTTGACCTCGTAGAGTTAATAAAT